CTCTTTTTTACCTAATCTTTTGACCATACAACCTACTCTTACATAAAATAGGGATTTTCACCAAACCAAAAAGCAATCAGAAATTACTTAAAGTATTATAGAAAAAACTCAATTTCTAACACTCCTCCTTGAGATTTTTCTTGAATACTCCAAGTTTTGATCTTAGAAATTCAAACTTGTTCTTGGAAAGTGTTTTGGTCATAATATCAGCAATCTGATTCTCTGAACTACAATACTCTACGCTGATTTCCTTTGATTTCTTTGATTCTCTAATGGCATGATATTTCACCTTGATGCTTTTTGTTCTACCATGCTGGACATGATTATTTACAATTGCAATGACTGACTTGTTATCAACCCATATGATAGTAGCTTCATCATTCAGCTCTCTCAAATCATGCAAAATTTTTATAAGCCAAATGACTTGATTTGTAACCACTGCAACTGAAATATATTTAGCTTCAGCTGTGGATTGAGCCACCACATATTGTTTCTTTGAATTCTAAGAGAAAACTTCACTACCAAATGAGAAAACATAACCTGATGTACTTTTAATATCATCTAAACTTTCTGTCCAGTCACCGTCTGCATATCCTTGAAGATCACCACTTTCATCCTTTGAAAAACATAGACCATAACCAGCCGTCCCTCCTATATATCTCAATACTCGTTTTGCTGCACGGTAATGAGCTTGACTAGGAGAATGCATAAATTTGGACAACAAACTTGCAACAAACATTAAGTCTGGTCTAATGGCTGTAAGATACAATAAACTTTCAATTAAGCTTCTATAAGTAGTAGTATCTATTTGCTGCAAGCATCATCAAGTGACAACTTTTCATTTACAACAAGTGGTATGTTTACCGGTTTACAATTCTGCATAGAAAACTTCTTCAATATTTCCAAAACATATTTTCTTTGTGTAATGAAGATTCCAACATTACATTGGTGAATCTCCATTCCAAGAAAATAATTCATTTCTCCCCAGTCATTCATTTAAAATTCAGTTTCCATGTCATGCTTAAAGCTGCTCAAGGAATCTGAATTTTTGCCAATAACTAGCAAATCATCAACATATAAGGAAACAATAAGCTGCACTTCATTGCTTGACCTTTTCATATACAAATTAACTTCATTTTCACACCGTTTAAACCCCTTATGCAGTAGATAACTATCAATTCTACTATATCAGGCCCTAGGAGCCTGCTTTAATCCATAAAGAGCCTTTTGAAGTTTGTAGACTTTGTTTTCACTCCCTAGAACAACAAAGCCGTTAGGTTGTTCAACAAAGATATCCTCTTCAAGTAAACTATTTAAAAAGGCTGATTTCACATCAAAGTGATACATTTTTCAACCCATTTTTGTTGTCAATGCAACTAGCAACCTGATTGTATCATGTCTTGCCATCGGAGCAAATGTGTCTGAGAAATCAACACCATGTTGTTGATGATAGCCTTTAACAACTAGTCTAGCCTTTAGTTTCTTTGTAGAACCATCAAGATTCAATTTGGTTCTATAAACCCACTTAAGACCAATAACTTTGTGTTTAGTAGGCTTGTCTACAAGTTGCCAAGTTTTGTTTTTATTAATCATATTCATCTCCTCCTGCATAACACATCTCCACCCATCTATTTCAGTTACTTCATCATATTCTTTAGGTTTTAATGCAACAATGTTACACCTTTCATAAATTTCAGCAAGAGTTTTAGCACCTCTAATTGGAAAATTATCATCATCATCATCATTTAAATTTTCTTCTTCAATCTCTGAATATTGTTCTTGGAGAGTGTCTACTTTAAACTATTTTTTACTTAAGGCTTCTACCTTGTATTTCTCCCAATTCCATCTAGAAAGTTCATCAAACTTTACATTTCTACAAATGAGAATATTTTTTTTCAAAGGATTGTATATCCTATAACCTTTGGAGTTATTAGAGTACCCCAAAAAAACACCAACTTCTGACTTGTGATCCAGTTTATCTCTCTTTACCTCTGAAATATGAGTATAACATATGCAACCAAATATTTTGAGATATTCCACTGAGGGCTTCCTTCCATACCATGCTTCATAAGGTGTTTTGCCTTTCAAGGATTTGGTAGGCAACACATTCAACAAGTATGTAGAGGTGTTAATCGCCTCTGTCCAAAAGGTTTTAGGAAGATCTTTTTCAAAGAGCAAACACCTTGTCATCTCCATAATGGTCCTATTTTTTCTTTCACTCACCCCATTTTGCTGAAGGGTGTAAGAAACAGTTAATTGTTGTTGAATTCCTGCTTGTGCACAAAATTTTTGAAACTCCCTTGCTGTATACTGAGTTCCATTATCAGATCTGAGTTTTTTTATTTTGGTTCCAGCCTCATTTTCAACTACCAACTTGAACTTTTGAAAAATAGCAAGCACTTTTGATTTTTTTTTTAGAAAAAACACCAAACTCATCCTTGTAAAGTCATCTACAAACAGCAGAAAATATCTACTACCATTTAAGGATATTGAGCTCATTGGGCCACATACATCAGTGTGTATAAGTTGCAATTTTTCAGTAGCTCTCCAACTTGCTTCATTAGGAAATGACATATTGTTGACATACATCACATACATCATCATGTTCTTGAATAGAAGACATATTTTGAACTAAATTATTAGACTTCATTAGCCTTAAGGTTGAGTAACTAAAGTGACCATACCTCTTATGCCACAAGGAAGATTCATCTTCTATGCTAGGAAAAACTTGTTCAATAGTTTGTTTCCATTCTAAAGGAAAGTTTTTCTCTCTCATTTTAAAGACGTTAGCTCACATCCATAAGGATGAAATATGGTACATCTCATATTTTCAAAATGAAAAGCATAATTCTTTTCAAGCATTTGCCCCACACTCAAAAGATTTTGACTCAACTCAGACACAAATAAAACATTTGATATATATTTGGTACCTGTAGGAGTTTCAACAGCAACCACTCTTTTTCCTTTGACATCAACATTTTCTCTATTGCCAATAGTGACTTTGGACAAGTAGGACTGATCAAGTTACTTAAAAAAACTAGCATTATGAGTCATATGATTAGTACACCCGTTATCTATGAGCCAAACTTCTTTGCTGCTACTTGTAGAATAACAAGAAGTAATAAACAGCTGCTCCTCACTCTGTTCTTGGTACTCAGCAACTTGAGTTTGTTGTCCTTGCTGCTTTGCCTTATTTTTGCAAACTTTTTCTACATGACCAAGCTGGTTACAGGCCCTACACTTGACTCCAGGCCTAAACCAATAATAGTTTTCTGTATGATTTGTCTTTTTACAGTGAGGACAAGGTGGAAACTTCTCTTTTCTACCTCTTCTTTTGTTGTCGTCATCTTCTTTTTTTCTTTGCCTTTCTTCCCACCAAAAGGTTTTTTTCATAGCTACTTTTACCTTGAGGTTTGCATTTGGTGTTGACCACAAAAACACCTTCAACATTTTCTTCCATTCTTAGAGATCTTCTCTGCTCAGTAGCTAGTAAAGCATTAACCAGTTCTGCAATTGAAATATGAGAAAAATCTTTATTCTCTTCAAGAGCGGAGAATTTTAACTCAAATCTCTCTGGAAGACACACCAATATTTTTTTCCAAACTCTTTGATCTTTAAACTTTTCACCTAACAATATAATTTGAGTAACAACTTTAGAAAGTCTGTCAGAAAACTCATTCACTGTTTTAGACTCCTTCATTTTGATTGCTTCAAATTCTCTTCTCAGATTCAACACTTTCATCATCCTTGTTCTTTCACTGCCTTGGAACTCCTCCTTTAACTTTTCCCAAGCTTCTTTTGCTGTCTCAAGATTCAATATCTTGATAAAAACATCATCGTATAGTACTGCATGTACGACGACAAGTGCCCTGTCATCCTTTGCCACTTTTTCATTATGGAGTCGTATTTGAGCCACAATTGGGTCATTGGATAAAGGGGCTGAATTACTTCCATTTTCCACCACATCCCACAAAGTTTGTGCTCTCAAATAAGTTCTCATTTTCGCAGTCCATAAATCATAATTTTCTCCCACAAAAACTGGAGGTGGAGGTAAAAAACTGCTACTGGATGTCATTCTTTGTTATTGATATTTTTTTCTGGATTGTATATAACTTTCTAACTGATTTTTACTCCCTCACAAGCCCTTAAAATCAATGAGCACTTGATACCATGTTGTAAAATCAGCAAAACAACAAAGTAATATAAAACCGAAAACAAAGAAAAAGCGAGTGTGTTACGGAGTTCAACAACAAAACAAAAGGAGAAAATTTTGATGTGTATTGATACCATAAATATTTTCTTTTTTAATACAAAAAAAAAATGTAAATCTCTACCAAATAAGTATTACCACTCTTTCCTGCTTAGTCTTTTGACCATATAACCTACTCTTCCTTAAAATAGAGATTTTCACCAAATAAAAAAACAATCAGAAATTATTTTAAGTATTTTAGAAAAAACTCAATTTGTAACATCAAATTGGTTACATATTTTCTTAATCTTAAATACAACTTGCGCTAGAGTTGTCTTTCCTATACCACCCATGCCCCATATTCCAGTGAAATGAACCTCGTCTTTCAATTCTAGTTTCAAAAGTGAATTTATTTTTTCGACTCTTGAATCAATTCCAACCAGTTCCTCATCGTATGATGGCAATTTAGGACGTAGTTTTGTCTATATTGATTCAGTGATATTTTCACTGAGCTCTTCGTTTTTCCTATTAATAAAAATGTATAATTTTGTTATAATTCAAATGTCAACAGAAACGAGACATAACAAATAGCTATTATAGGTAGTTTTCATATGTTTTGTTATTAGAATGGTAAAACCACTGTACTGAATGAGTATGTTAATATTAACAAAGGCAAATAGTATTTTGTGTTGTATCTTCTTCATTGGATTTTTTACCCCCTCTTTTCGAATTACCAAAAGCCAAAAAAGAAATCCCTCATTCAAAATTGAAATGATGATAACTTACGTAGTTAAATCAACACAATCAAAACTTACATATTCTTGGACACGCAGCCAGAAAAACCAGCAACTGTTTTCAAGGATTCCCTCCATTTTGGCACCTTCAATTTGTCTTCTTCAGATCTTATTTCATGTTCTTTGAAAGCCTTAAAGAAACTATTTCTCTGGTGCCGAACATCGGAAGGATCGACATCATAGAACACAGGAACAACTGGTTTCCCCAGATCAAGTATCTTTCGGAGTTCATCTAAACACCAAGAGGAAGAAGCATAGTTCTCGGAGAGAAGGACAATGGCAACGACGGATTTCTCAATTGCTTCTTGAACTTTTTCCCAAATCATATCTCCTCTCTCAGCTTGTTGATCATATCTGAAAGTTGAGATTCCCTTTCGCTGCAACGAAGCACGCAAGTTGTCTGCAAAATCTATATGATCGCCTTCCGTTCTAAAACTCAAAAAAACATGGTAGCTCCACCGGGAGGATGCATCAGGAGAATCTGAGGAAGATTCTCCACGTAACATGTTGAAGCTTTCCAATCACAAGTAACCTCTACGCAGCACACAATAGTATGCTAACAAGTATTAGCAGAAACTACGAAGATGCATGTTGCTTCGGTGGATTCATCAAGTGTTGTTTAGGTTCATGGCGTTGTTTGAATTATGTAGATTCCCAATTCTTCGCCTGAAGAAGACATTAAGCAAACTTCAATGAAATTTCGAGAGGGTGGTTTTGATAGGATCAAATAATGTTGATGGCGGACTAGTACTATTCTATATATAAATTTCTTGTTAAAACATTTCTTACATTATTATATGTTATTCTTTTAGTTTTTCATAGCTTCGTATGGTTTATACGCTTTTATATGTTGATGTAAGCATATAGATAGAATATCAAAATTAGTCTCAATCCATGAACTATATTTTAGTGAAGTTAATAACAAGATAGACCAAGTTATCAACTGAGAATTCTATTGTTGGATTGAATTGAAGATAATATCTTGTCCTCTTGCCTTGAAGCCTTTTTTTTGAAATTTAAGTGGAATTTATAAAAATAAGCATTGATATATTTTTATTATGATATATTTTGCACACCACCGTCTTCAATACAGAGATCTTAAAATGGATTTTAAATTATAGATTCAGATCATATAAAAAAAACTCCCACTTAACAGACACATTTCAAGTAACACATTGTGAGTTTTTTTGTTAGATCCTTCTACTATAATGATCTAACATCATAAATAAAGTATCACAGTAATAAAATATGAAAGCTTGACTCCTATAACAATTACTTAATATTATAGATTTTGTTGAACAGACTACATCTTCATTTCCTCTTTATTGTCTTTAATTTCTATCTCTCTATTTAACAAATCTTAGAAGTTTTCTATTAATTTTGGTAACAATATATATAGAGGTATTAAAAATTTTACGATTATTATTTTAAACAGTTAGTAAATAAATTTTGTAGAGAAAAGTACATTAATATAGTAATTCAATCACTATCTCTAACAACACAGTTATGTATAAATTTTTATTAAAGCAAATAAATATTTTAACAGGCCAAAATATATATAAGCAACTGCAAAGGATCTCAAACTTTATTTATAACATATGTGAAAAAAAAAAAAAATTCCTTGTACAAGTATTTGGAACATCTTATGAACCATTGGCAAAAGAAACGATAAAAGATTTACACATATGAAGTACAATATGGTCTGGTAACTGTTGATTCAATGATAGTCCAATTACTTAACAAACTTAATGATTGATGTCGTAACAACACAAACCAAAAGAGAGTGGAAGACATCAGAAAAACAAGCTTCCCCAAGCTGCTATAAATGCAAAGCCACCAAATGGAGCCAAAGTTGAATATTTTCTGTCTTCAAGAAGTGCGACAGTATAACACCTAAAAATTCAACATCATAAAGATGAATACAGCTTCATCATTATTCATTTTTTAATACTTTTTGCCAATATTTCCTACCAAAAATCAGAGCATGCAGCAACAAGATATTGTTATAGACAGTCTAATTAACTCGAGAAAGGGTGTATGCTATGCAACAGCTATAAAATGGCAGTAGATCACATTATAAGTGAATTGCTGAACCATCTGATACAACATATTTCAAAATCTGACACAAAACATGAAAAACCTCACAGTATCATGTTTTTGTTTCCTACAAAAATTCAAGGCATAAGTTATGCTTCTGCTCAAGAATGAATCAAGTTAAAAAAACCATCCAAACTGCTTAGCATATCAAGCAATCAAGAAAGAACACTCCTATTGGATACAATGCATGACAATAACTGCTTCAAACAATTTGTTACAGGTAATTGGATTACCTCCCAAAAAGATACTGAAAGTCAGATCACATACAAATATGTTAGTTTTATTTTGCAACAAGATTCAATCCACAAAAAGTTCTCACCCTGATCCGTGTATTTCTTGGGATGACTCATTTGTCACATATAGGGAGCATTGAAATGTCACAGACCTGTTTGCAAACAGCTGCATTCTTCGATTTGGGCAGGAAAAAGCTAAAATTGGTAGTTTTGATTTATTTCTTTTCCTCACTCAAAGGGCATGCCTTTAGAGTCTTAGATCACACTCACATCACCCTTCTACCTAAGTGGACAACAATATGATATGATTGAGCGAAACTCTTACAGAGATAATCGGTGTCCTGCTGGTCATATATATGAAGCACTGGGTTAATCATCCCTTGATTGACATGCTTAACTCCAAAATTAGCGATTTTATTTTAGTGTTTGGAGTCCTTGATTCAGTAAGAGAAATTATATTCATTCCATCATTAATTTTACCTAAACTTAGTTTCCCTTCAGTTCAAAGGAGAAAATTATGCAGCAGTTCCCTTCCCACGTTGAACTCATTGTCTCACTTGTAATCACTAATCTATGAAAACAAGTAATTTGTTTCAACAACTCCCCACATGCTTAATTTTTCTATCGAGGACTCCTTGGACCAATAGTCCATAACTAACACATCAGCCGATGTCTATGTACCTACCGAGCTTTTAATTGTACCACCAAGATAATGAAATAAAGACTTCATTTCTTCAACAACAATGTGGCAATGGCTCGGCTTTTCAAACCTATTGGCTTAAATATAATCTTCCACAATGTCCTGACTCCTGAACAGATGTATCTCACGTTGACCTTCTTGCAAGCAAACTTAATATCATTTATTTGATTGAAATTTATATGTCTCCAAGTTCCCAAAATGTTGGGAACCTCTTTCACTATGCCCACCTTTAATTTTTCATATCAACCGTCCCTCCCAAAAAGAAAAGAAATAATAAAATTTGAAAAACATTTTCTTTAGTTGGCAAAGAAATCCGTGGTTAAATACAAAATAGGCATTGAAATAGTCAAGGTTGAGATAAAACTTACGTCCCAGAGAAGGCCAAGATCCCAGTTGTAAGAAGGCCTCCAAACTGCAAAGAAGAAAACTATGAGTGAAAAAGAAAAAAAAAATGACGACTTCATTTCACAAACACTCCATATTGACCACATAATAGCAATAGCATTCAAAGGATTCAAAAAAGGAAGAGTAAGTAGGAATATTTCTCAATGAAACTTACAACAGTGGGGTGTTTTGTAATTGGGGCGGCAACTAAGGCAGCGGTATGAACCAAATGGTAAAGTGATGCTGTGTGCCAAACCTTCACACACAAATTCCAATTAAAACAGGAACAAAAAAACAACCTTTATTTTATGATGAACTAGAAATAGAAATGAATTGGGAGAAAGTTCAAAGTAGAAATGGACTTCTTTGTAAGCAGGGTTCTGGGGTTTGAAGACGTGGGCACCATAGGTTCCCAATCCAAGTGCTGCAACACCTGTTTCAGTTTGAGTGCATTATAGTTTCTGAAGAAAGGATATGAATTATGATGAAAGAGTGAAGAAGATGAGAAAGGGAATGTACCTGAAATCGCTGCAACTTTGTGCCACACCCGAGGATCCATTTGCAAGAAAAGTATAATTGTTTACGAATTCTTTCGCAGGTTCACTTAAGCCAATGGCGTGGGCATTAACTACAAGCACGTAAATGTTGCTTAAAATCACATTTTTATTCGTAGTAATTTTAGTTTTCATTCATTAGATTTTATTGATTTTATTTTTGTTTCTTTAAAAATTATTTTTTAAATAAACTTAATTATCTCTATATGTTTAATATGGATATTTTGGTTTTAATATGTTTTATTCTTTGTTTGGTTTTCATATTTCCTTTTTTTTCATTTTTAGTTTTTGTTATTAACTCATTCCATTAATTCTAATTTATCAATTTAACGTTGGTCACATCATTAAGAGTGTCATGCCAAATTAAAAAAAATATTTATAGGATTAAAATAAAAATAGTTTATTATGACTAAAATAAAAAACTATACATGATTTGAGACTAAAATTAAAAATTAAATATTTACAAGAAAAAAATATTTTTATAATGAATAAAAATAAAAATAACTTATTTATAAAAAAATAAAATGATAATGTGACATATGTCTAAGTGTTACACTAAAATTGATTAATAATTATTTCAGATCTTAAACATATTTTTGTTGACTTTAATAATTAGTTTGAAATTTATTAAATCATTTAAATATAATTTTTATATATTTAAAATAGTTTGTAATTGTCACTTTTTATTAATATTAATTTTTAATTATTGGATATGAAGTATTAAAATGTGTAAATAGATGAACTCGAAAAACTCACAAAATAAATTAGTCTACACTAAATTAATTAAAAATTATATTGAATGGTTCAATTTTTTATGTAAATCTTAAAAATAAAATGACAATCTTAAATTTTTTTTTTCTAAAATATGCACAAATGATATTTTTCTATTACCAAAACAGAAATTTCTCATAATTAAAGACACCTCTTAACAAATGTTCTTTTCCATGTTATGGAAAAAAAATGTCCTCTGTGAAAACAAAAATTATTGTATCATAATATATTTTTATTTATTTTAGTTTTTTTCTCAGAACAACTTAATATATTCATTTGAGTATCATAAAGAATATTTAAAAGAAATAAATGTATGCAAAACTGAATTCTGATTAGTACTGCGACTTTTTCTAAAATCTATAGACTAAAATCATAGGAAAAAGTAATAACAAAACCAAAATCACATATTAAAAGTTAAAGAAAAACCAAAATTATAATGTAGCCAATTTTGTTTTCGTTGCATATCATCTGTGGCTCTGAGCCAATAACTGGTAAAAAGAGTAATACACAATGCTGTTCTTGACGAATCAGTAATTACGTTTGGCACAGATCACAAATTAATCAAATCCTAAGAATCCTATGATATGGCCAAATACAAGTGTACACAAAAAAAAGTAAAATAAAACTAAAAACAGTACTCCCTTGGAATGTTTGGAGGAAAAAAACTAAACAACAAAATAAGAGAAAGATAGAAGAGACCAGGTCCAAAATCCTAGTGTTTAATGGGCAGAGTGGCCTGTAGATGTTTTCTTAAAATCAATCTTATCAACCTTAACCTCTCCATCAATAAGTTCATACACATAAACCACAACTCGCAGACCATCGATGTCCATAAGGACAAAACTTGGGTTGACGTCATATGTGATACTGCTGTAGGCACCTGTTGCAGAACCTGGATTTATAACCACACCTCCCTCGTGTTTGTAAGCTGTAAATTGATGGGTGTGACCTGTGACAAGGATGTCCACATCAAGCTGCCTCTGTAGCATTGCCAGTGAGTCTAGGTCTCCCCATGGAATAACCTTCACAATCATTAAACACATAATTATCATATATCAATGCATAATATAGCACAGTTTAAGTTTCTACTAAACAAATACAATCACAGGAAGAATATGGTTGAATCGAAAATTTTGCAGCTAGAACAATAAAATATTACAGACCCAAACTGTACCTGTTAAACTTAAACGTCAATAAGAAAGATGAAGAGACTATACTAATACAAGTGCAACCTAACGTAGCAGAATGAAGCATATATTATTCAGTTCAGATTAAAGCTGCTAGCTGTAGCAAAGTAATATACCGAACGAATGACTTAATACTCCAACCCGCAAATCTTTGACGATAAAACCCAAATACAGCACCCAACAACTGCCAAGAAAATCCTATTCGTTAATCTCAAAGTGAAATGGGGAAAATGAGTTCTAACACGAAACCACTGTTTGTGGTCATCCATACTCCTGGATTTTGATTTTCTTATAGTAGGTTTTCTAGTTTTAATTTTTCTTTTTAATTTACCCCAATTTTGCTAAAAATTGAATAAATATAGTATTATTCTCTTCCTTCATCTCACCTGGTTACCCATTTCATCTCACCTGGTTACCCATTCCCGTTGGATCCAAGTTCGCCAACAATCAATTGTTCTTAAATCTTAGTTATGGTTGTGCGTAATTCTTTAAACAGGAAATAATAAGGGGAATGGTGAAGGGATCTAGGACTGACAATTAATACCTCATCCATGGGAATGATCTACCCCACGAGGTAAAAAATGCGTTTACTGAATATGACTCAGTTTTCCCCGATTTAAAAAAACAGACTGACATGGGTAATTTGAGCCTCCTCCCGGTCGTATTTCCGTCTCAACTTTATATTTATCCTAATCCCTAAAATATTAATACTCTTTCGGATGTCTAGCTTTTCTTCTCACATTGTATAAAACATAGTTCCTTCTCAATTTCACACTCTTCATTTTTATTTCATTCATTCTTCACTCTTTTTATCTTTCTAAATAAAAATTATTCTATTAAATTATATATTTTATATTTATTAACATTTTAAAATGACAAACCTTAAAAATAATTAACTTATATAATCAAAAGTTTGAATATAGTGTTATAGTATATAATAATAACAATGTTATGAGTATTCTATATCTATATGAAGAAAAAAAAGATCAAATATTTTATGTATACATATAATAAATTAATATATATTCAATCAATAATAATAATTTAAAAATTATAACACTAAAAATATTTATTTATGTACGAGAAGCAATGCATAAAAAATAGTGTCAAAATTAATTTATTATAATTAAATTTTCTTAAAATCCAGCAGAAATGGGGATGAAGTTTCTAATCCCGCCCCTACCTCTTGCCATGCCTATCTAGGATGCAGGGGTATGTTAGAAACTGATTAAATTTGTGCGGTGCCAGTGTCAATGGAGGCTTCCATCTTGATACACATTTCGCTCTTGGATGACAAGCTTGTAAGATGTTACAGAAGTTTTAATGGAGAAGGAAATAACTTAATCTTTATGTGGGTTTCAATTGATATTTTAAAACCAATTCATCCAAAATAAGTCCCAAGTCATTGACCTCAGCCATTCATTTTTTTCGCGACACATCAAACGGTACATTTAGGAAAAAGCCAGGTAAAATGATATCGAAGAGTCAAAATCAGACCTGATGACCATGGCATAGTCCGAGCTTAAATTGGCCAATGGTTAGTGTCTTGGTCTCCGGATATTTCGTCTCTTCGTCATACTCACCGCGTGTTATATGCAAATCTGGACAAAGAGTCTTTAAGTAGTCATGAATTTCCTGAACAGAAATGAAGTAAAATTAGCTCATAGATTCAACCATTAAAAACACCTAATTTCATGTCAAGTTAATGTGAAAAAAATATGTAGCATATAAAAAATAGAACCATAACATATGTATTGAATTATTTCTAGTAGATGCAGATAGATAACTGATGCAATATAAAGGGGGTAAATAACGCATGAAAAAAAGTTGTCCCACAAGAATATGACAGTACCCCTGATACACTGGCAGTATACTAAAACACTATAAATCATTATTTAACCCCCATTTGTTGTCATCAAAAACACAGTTTCACCTGTGTTAATGGACTAGATAACCGGTTTTATATGTACAAAAAACTATTTTAGGCTACTGAAAAAAATATGTTCGATAATATATACAAGAAAATAGGGTGTCGGGCAATGAAGAGTCTTTGAATTTGCCCTTTGAAAATTGTAAATAATGCATATTACACAAAAATGAAGGAGCATCCACCAGGCCTTAACACAATGCCATTGGCCACAGGAATCATTACAAACACAGGCACCAAGGATCATCCAATTTACTATTTGTTAGACACTCATCAATTTTCTACCTATGAATCTGGACAATGACAAAGACAGAAGAAACTAGACACTGACAAAACAAATTTGATGTGTTCTACAGCTAAATGTTCTTGTACACATTGTATCGAGAGCTAACCTTTCCAAAAGAACTCAAATCTCACAACTACAAGATTGAAGACAGAAAATTTCATTTGTCAAAAGGCAACAGTGAAGATGGAAATTTCAGACCTTCACGCCCGTGTACTGTGTTCATTCATAATAAAGAAGTTGAAAACTATAAAACAAAGGATATTGATTATCTTCATGGCAACAGTCCACACTGAATAAAAAATAATTATTTCAATAAGATGGACATACTTTAACACATAAATTTCCAGTACATATTATGTGCTGGATCTTGCCAGGGACAAGCATGGATTTGAACTTTGCAGGAAGATCAGGTGCCCTGTGGGGTATGTGCAAATCCCCCAGGGCCAAAACGAGCACCATCCTCAAGAATCAAAAACCAAAAGTTGACTTAGAGAACCTGCTGAAACAATGAATTGCCCATACACAAAGGAACAGTTACGAACAGCTAAAATAATATATCCAGCATAAGCAAATGTACAAAACAGGATGCGTGGTACCATGTGCAGTAGTCAGATATTCATATAAACGTTAGTTTGTAAATATATAACCAGCTTTAAAACGATAATGAAAGCCATACCTACAACTTCCTCAAATCTCCTATCAATCAACAAATTCCTTATCTATCATTATATTTTCTTACAACAACCCAAATACCAAACCCTGTGAACCACTTGACCAGTGTCCAAGGTGCTAACTATCCCATCTTTTATGAAAAAATAAAATGTACGGAGGGACATGAGGAACATGTACAAGAAGGCAGGATATGATATCCTCCTGAAGAGAACGAAAGCAAAACAAGCCTATAACAACTCGGGCAAGGTAATTAAGAAAGCAAAGCTTAATATTCTCCAGCCATATAAAGAAACCACTACGGAGTATTCACTGGCTGAAACATCACAAAGCAGCTAAGAAGAATATTTTATCCCAAAGCTTAGGTAGTATGAAAGATGATCTTTGAAAATTCTGGCATTCCTCTCTGGCCTAAGCACCAAATAATGACACACATTGTGCACCCCCCAAAAGAGTCCCTCTCTTTACTACTCTCAAAACCTCCAAATAGACACATGAGAAAACCCCTCAATTTTTTACAAGTAATTTTATTATATCCAAATGTTGAAATGAAGTTTCATAACATTCAGGCCTTGCATGTCACCGAAAAAAAAAGGATTGTTAACGTGAGAAGTATTTAGTACATTAATATTCAAAGGTATTTGCAACTTTATATGGATGTGATTCACATGACAAAAACTTTTAATCCAAAAACAGAATTTGAGAGAAAATTATCCAATAAAAACTTATCCAGTGTCAAATGATCCCTATTGGCCTATTCTAATTAATCTTACCATTTCTTCTGAAAAAACACTTTCTAGATTGAAAAGGAAATAAATCTCACCATAGGAATTCTTGGTTGGAAAGAACAACCCAGTTGGTGAATTCTTACCAGTCTAATCTATTACTTGTACAGCAAGAAGCTGAACTTCAGAAACGAAATTAAAATCATTTCCGCCAATTTATACAATTTTCCATTCGCCTATAAACATAATAGAGCCATATTCACATAACAAATCCACCTTTGTTACCACAGCAGCTATGTCTATCTCAATTTGAATTCACTTCAAGTTCATTTTGTCACCAAAAGTGAGGAGCAAACTCACTACCCAATTCTCAGAAATACAAACACAGGCTTTAGGCAAATTACAATTTTCCGGGGTTAGATTCATGAAAAATCTCAGCGATCCAAAAAAAAAAAAGACAAAATTCATTAATCAAACAAACAGAAACACGAGAAACAAGCCTGGAAATCTCTCTTTAAACTGAGTGCTGTAAATAATAAAATAGATCGGAGTCAAAGAAACGCATTAGATCCCTAAAACAATCCACACTCCTAAGATAAGAAATTAAAATAAAAAAACGCATACGGTCGAATGCAATAATGAGTGCAATAGAATAAAAAAAATGATTAGAAGGAAGATCAAAGGATCATTGAAGCAGAGAGAGGACCTGAGAGAAAATGGCAGGTTGAAGAAGGGTGAGATCGAGAGAAGGTAGAGCAAGACTCCACCCAAGTTGGCCGCAAACAATTCCAAACGCAAACCCCAATTTTGACACCGGGACCTGCACCAAAATACGTCAACTAACAATTCCATCCTATTCATTAATCGTGATTAATATTATTATTATGGCTATGCTATTCACTAAGGCCAATATTATTTTTAGAAAAATTAAAGACAAATTAGCTTCACAACTTTATTTTACCCCTGTTCAATACAAACATATTTAGATAAAAATAAAAGTTTAAACATAAAAAGTTTATAAACGACTTTTAACTACTATTTGTAAAAAAGGTTAGTACTATCTGTGCAACCTTTTAATGTGTAATGGAAAGTGAAGGAATGAGTATATAAATTTATATGATGACATGTATTCAATTAAAACAAAATAGTTCCTTTTAAAATTTCAAGTAAATGTTTTCTTAGATTATAATTGAAATAAGAAAAAAATAGTAAAATTAAACATTTTTTAAAGTTTATTATCTTGTTTTATTATTCGATCCCAAGTTAACAATTTTTAATAAATTTTAACGTAGAATAGAAAGTGCACTGGAATTATTTGTTGTTGAGTTTGTTATTCACAATCCTCTTAATAACATTTTTTTAGTTAATTTTTTTACTTTAAAAGATTAAAAGTTTAAAATCCCTGTATTTGTTATATTTTAATTTGTAAGTTAAAAAATTATAGTTTTTATATATGTATGTATATATGTAGTAAAAACTAAATTAAGTAGATAATTGAGACTATGTGGCAAAAAAGGAACTTTAGACTAAATTAATTGAGTGAATGAGTTCTTACTAGGAAGAAAATCTCTAGTTAGTAGAAAATTAGTTGGGCTGAGTGCATTTGAAAGCCCAAATATGGTGTGCTTCTTGTTACAAAATACTCCGTTAGATTGGACACCCATTCCTGTCTTAAGTATAACTTTTATTTTGGGCTGGACTAGAAAATTTGGGACCAGCGAGTTTTTCTCGTTTAAAAAATAAAAAATACTATATCAATTAATTTTTACGTTAATTTATTAGTCTCTCCATTAAAAATTCCATGATTTTAAAAGATAAAATAAAATAAAATAGAAGTGATACTGAAAATAAATAAATTAATAATATTTTTATTTAGCAAACTAAATAAAAAAATTCTTCAATGGAAAACTTAAAATAATAATTATAATACATATATAATAAAATTTAATATTTATTGTTATTATTATATTAAATATGATATATATAAAATTTAAGTTATCAATATATCAGTGCTTAAATAAATAATTTAAAAAAACCGATAATCAATAGTAAACAAACAAAGTTATTATTATTATTTGATCTAAAGCTAAATTTTGATTCTTTAATGAATTTAAAGATGGAAAATCCAAACATAATTTGAGCACTCAATTTAACATAAGAAATGCCAAACTACTTCTCTGGTTGGTCTGGAAACTGCTTGGAAGCAATTAGACTCGTCATTGTCACATTGGCACCACCTTCCAATTGGTCAGGTGGTCAAAAGAAAAGAACACACAAATGTTACTTCACTTCTTCACTTTCTTCCCTTCAATCAATCGTCTTCACTTGACTCCTTCAGCGTCATTGTATCAAGGATTACAAAGATACCCACAAAATAAATAATTCAAATAAAAATGAGATTTTCATGATAAGTGTGGACTGATGTCGTCCAATTTAAACCATATTTTAAAGTTCAATTAAGACGGCTAACACATGCTCTAAAAGATGTGATTGTTTTCTTTGGCAGTTTAAATATGTTTTTCATTCCTGTAAACATAGGATTTTTTTTTTATAAAATATTTTTATTGATTTAAAAATTTCATAATTTTATGTTTTAAATAATGTTTCTCATCATATATTTAAATACATCATACCAACTATTATTTTAATTATATAAAAATATATTTAATTAATTTTTTATTTTAATTATATTTTGATTTTTAAGCTTTTAATTGTTTAAAAGATAAAATAAACACATTGAAAGCTTTGAAAAAATAATTTTGTTTAAATAAGTGATTTGTTAAGAAATTTGCTGCAAGTATGAAAGGAATTGTTGGTACGTAAGAAAAGGAAGTACATAAAAAATTCTATTTCACCCGTGATCCTCCGGTAGTAGCGGAGTCAAAAATTGTTACTACTTTAACTGCTGAGCATTGAGCAACTGCAAAAGTGAAAACGTGTAAAACGTATAAAACCAATGGAAGTAATAAATTAATAATAAACACGATATTAACAACGCCATTTTAAAAAATTAACAAATATTTTCTCATTATTAATTTGTGATCTCAACACTAACCCAATATTTTGCTCTTAAGTGAAAAGTTACAATTAAGAGGTTGGTAGAATCTACCTCATTTTACATAGGCTTGAAAGGTTGGAGGAATCCTCCAGATAAGTTCAATCCATGTTAAAGTAGAAAATTCAACGACGCAAAATTAATTATATTCATGAGGCTTAAAAACTGGTCAAACACGATTCTTCGTATTTTTTTCAACTGTACTGTACACTTAAATTTCTTTAAATAGCAAACACGTAGTTTGCCAATCTACACACACAAACAAACTCAGATTATTATTCGGAGTGACAAGAGAAAAAAAAAAAGTGAGAGATGGAGAACTTCCCTGTGATAAACTTGGAGAATATCAATGATGAGGAGAGGAAAGCTATCTTGAAGCAAATTGAAGATGCTTGCCAAAACTGGGGATATTTTGAGGTACCCCACGAACTAGCTGATAAAAGCTTTGTCATACTATGACATATAAGTCATACATTTGCAAGGTTTTCTTCATGTTGTTCATTTTAATTATGCTAACTAAGATGCTTTCCTGATTGTAGTTGATGAATCATGGAATACCCCATGAACTTTTGGATAGGGTGGAAAGGTTAACAAAAGAGCATTATAGGAAATGCATGGAGAAGAGGTTCAATGAGGCAGTGGCAAGCAAGGGTTTGGAGGGTGTCCAAGCTGAACTAAAGGACATGGACTGGGAGAGCACCTTCTTCTTGCGCCATCTCCCAACCTCCAACATCTCCGAAATCCCGGATCTCACACAAGAGTACAGGTAAACAAATTGAAAACCAAGAGACACATGCACGAAATCATGACATATTGTTGATGCATGAATCGTGACGTATATATTGTTCACAATATATCATTGCGTACACACATGACATGTCTGAACTGGATGAGGTAATGATGCAGGGATGCAATGAAGGAATTTGCAGAGAAATTGGAGAAGCTAGCTGAGGAGTTGCTAGACCTGCTGTGTGAAAATCTTGGATTAGAAAAGGGGTACTTGAAGAAGGCATTTTATGGATCAAGAGGTCCTAATTTTGGGACAAAGGTTGCAAACTACCCAGCGTGCCCAAAGCCAGAATTGGTGAAGGGTCTTCGTGCCCATACAGATGCGGGTGGGATTATCCTTCTCTTGCAAGATGACAAGGTCAGTGGCCTTCAGCTTCTCAAAGATGGGCAATGGGTGGATGTGCCTCCAATGCGCCATTCCATTGTTGTTAACCTTGGTGACCAACTTGAGGTATACGTTTCTTTCATTCATTGTATAATGTATTCTAGTTATAATAATTCTCATCCAACGTTTGGGTCTAACATCATAGGTTATTACCAACGGGAAATACAAGAGTGTGGAGCATCGTGTGAATGCTCGAAGTGATGGGACAAGAATGTCGGTGGCATCATTTTACAACCCTGGGAGTGATGCTCTTATCTACCCTGCACCACCATTGTTGGAGAGAGAGGCAAAGGAGACAGACATGATATACCCAAAATTTGTATTCGAGGATTACATGAAGCTCTATGCTACGCTCAAGTTCCAACCAAAGGAGCCAAGATTTCAAGCCATCAAGGGTGTCTACTCAGTTTAGATTACTTCTAATTACTATCGCAGGAAGAAAATTTAAAATAACTAGCAAGGAAGCTTGGAAATATTGTTTATTCATTATACGATTTCTTGTTGCAATTAATGGGTGATTTTATTTCCTGTAATTTGTTAAAGGAAATAACTATATTATTCAAATAAAATGCAATTTGTCCGCTTTTGTTTCTCTGGCATCTTCGTTGAGATATAACCCATGTTTTTAAAATTGGATAATGAGTAAATATATAAGGATTAAAGGTTTAATTAAATCGAAATCTAATTAGATTTAATAAAATAATATTTTTATAATATAATAAATATATAATAAAATTATTAATAATAAAAATTTGTTATAAAAGAAAAATAATAAATATCAAGATATAAGATAAATTAGTTAAAATAAAATATAATATAAAATTTATTATTTAAAATTGATATAATTAATATAAGATAAAAAATATTAAAATATATTATTTTTTTATAAAAAATTATATTAAAAAATATATATTTAATTTTTTTATCAAATCTGATTTAATACAAAAATCTAATCGATTTTTTTATTTATCGATTTTTATCAAATTTAATTATTTAAAAACAATATATCAATTTTTAAACTAATTCATTCCAATTTTCAAAGCATTCGTTATAGCCACAAGCTTTTCCAAGATAATTTTATCATTCTAGAATTCGGTGAATATAATAATCTATATGATTTAAAGATTGAATTTATATTATGTTTTGTGTTGTCTTACTTTATTTTTCTAAATATATTTTTAATTGTATTTTTTTTTCAACTGAAATATTTGTAAGTGAATTTTAATTATTAATATTACAAAAGAATAAATGTATTATGTTTAAAATTAACATAATATTTGGATGGAATAAGAATAAAAATAAACGCAGCCTAATTTGTTTCATGAATCTTATAATTATTTTTTGAATTTTTATACTAAAAACTATTGAGGGACTAAATTAGGTTTATATATAGGAGAAGGTTGAGACTCCCTTAACTTGTTTTTAACACTAGAATTATATATATATATATATATATATATATATATATATATATATATATATATATATATATATATATATATATATATATATATATATATAAAGAGAGAGAGAGAGAGATTTATTTATTTATTTGATATTATGATATTTATTTAATCATGATTTTTATTATAAAGATGGTGATTTTTAAGTGTCGCTTATTTTTTTTAATATTTTTACATAAATGTTTTATTTACAGTTTATAGTTTTTAGATAAATGTATATTTTTTTAATAGTTTTTTTCTTTTACCATCATTAATTTTATTTTAAATTATTACAATTAGAGGACTTCATTAATATTTTCATTATTAGTATATTTTATTTTTAAGTTAATAACTATTTATTACCCTTGAATAAATTTACAAATATCATTAAGGAATCAATTATGATTATGAGCTCACTTAATGATTTTTTAATATCAACACTTCAAGTCTTAACAAAACATTTATGGAGAAGAAAAAAGCACAAGAAAACAAGAAAAAAAATGAAGAGATTATAATATAAGGACGTGCAAAAGGGACACAGAAGATTGATTAGAGTTTAGTTTAAGGTTGTAAATTCTTTCATCGAAATTGTCTTAAAAGAAAGGGTATAATACAACTATTTATAGAACTATAGAAATCTTATGTTAGTTAAGACTAATTATACTCCTAATTAAAGTTCAAAATCTTTCCACGCTAAACAAAACCCTAAAACACTAATATTTAATATTTAGTACCCTATTAAGACTAATTATACTCCTAACTAACGTTCAACACTTTCCAAGCTAAGCTAAACAAAACCCTAAATACTATTGTTTATAATATTTAGTGCTCTATACTTGCAAGCTTGTGTTCACATATGAACCTACAATACTTCACATGTTTAAATTTATCCATAACTTAACTAATATTATATTTATATTTTTACTGTTATAGGTTTTATATCTTCTACTCTCGTAATAAGTTTGATGATCTTTTTGACTTCCTCTCTAATTTATAGCCTTTTATCTTGCCATGACTATTTATTGAAAGCTTGATGTTCCTTTTAGTTCTTCATAAAGAACCATTTGTGTTTAGAGATACATCAATAAATATTTTGGTGCAAGAAAGAAAATATTCTCTTTATTATATTTTTTATTTTCTTATTTTTTTTGTTCTCTTTGTATTTTCTGTGAGACTTCAACCCACTTCCATTTAGTCTAAATGTTTGAAAAATAAACTAGATTTTGGATTGCACCTACTTATCAAACTTTTGTTCAAGCTAATGATTATTTCCATAACATAATATATATATTCCAATTCTTTTACTTTTTTAACAATTTGAAAACAACCTGCCAGCTATTATTGCATTAAAATACATTATTTAATGGTCAACATTCATTTTTAATTTAATAAATCTTTAGAACACGGAGAATATATACCATAGATATCAAATTTCATTATAAATTTATGAAAGTTTCTATCAGGAATCGAATTAAAAAATTTAGATTAGACAAAATATATATATATACATATATATATATATATATATATATATATATATATTAAATAACTTTAATTACATAGTTAATCTCTTTATCTTTTACGCTTTACTTCCTTTTCGTATCAGAACAAAATACAGGTGTAGGAAAAAAGAAAAAGAAAAAGAGAAGACTTGAGCACGAAGCTATATTTTGTATGGAGGAGATTTGGCCCTATATTAAAACATTTATTAATTAAGGAGATGTTTAAACTTGTCTATAAATATTTTTAGGAGAACAAACATGTTTTTCCATAAACTAATAAATAAAAAATAAAATAGTGATAGATTTACAACAAAAATTATTTAATTTTTTTATTTGGTCTCACCTTACGCTCAGAATAACACAAATGACTTACAATATTTGCAATTATTCATATGTTGCAGTAATAGTTTCAATACTAATTACACATATTAGTGTTAAGAACTGAAAACTGTCGTTATAGAGTAAAAACATATCAGTGCACTACAAAAAAAAACGAAATTTCCGACGAACAAAATCCGTCGGTAAGTAATAAAATTCGTCGGTAAATAGATATTACCGACGGATTATCGACGTGCATAAATCCGTCGGTAATAGTGCTGTCGGTAAATTTTATCGACGGATTTGCTATTCCGTCGGTAAGTGTCATGGGTATTACCGACGGAATATCCGTCGGTAAAATACCCATGACACTTACCGACGGAATAGCAAATCCGTCGGTAAGTTTCATGGGTATTTACCGACGGATATGCCGTCGGTAATACCCATGACACTTACCGACGAATTTGATATTCCGTCGGTAATATACCCATGACACTTACCGACGGAATAGCAAATCCGTCGGTAAGTTTCATGGGTATTTACCGACGGATATTCTGTCGGTAATACCCATGACACTTACCGACGGATTTGCTATTCCGTCGGTAAGTGTCATGTATGCGCCAAACTTACCGACGGATAATTTGTCGGTAAATCCGTCGATAAAACCATCTCTAGTTCCAGAGCAGTTTATTTTTTTCTCATCCCATATAACCTGTCAAATAATATTCAATCCAACAGTCCAATTCAACAATATTCAACCCGAGTACAATTCAATAATATGTTAAACAATTCAATTAAACATAAATCTAACTCACGTTAATCATAATCATAAGTAAATTCAAATGTGCTTGTAATTTATGCATAATGAAACATAATGTACAATCCTAAAAATAGGATCAACATACAAATAGAATTGAAATATTATTCTATAGATATTTGTATAACATTTAATAATTAGAGTAATCGGGAGAATGATGTTCATCATGTGGTGGGTTATCCTGTGGTGGGTTATCCTGTTGTGCTTCATTCGGTTGGAGTTGGGGTTGTTGTTCATCATGTGTTTCACTATGTGGACGTCTGTTGAACAACGATTGTGCGACGGGGGTAGAAGATGACCAACAAGGGATTGAAACTCTACGAATTGGTGCTCTAGTCGTTCATTACTGCTCCCTTGTTCGACGTATTTCTTCTTCTTGTACGAGATAATCGTTGTCTTAAGCTGATTAATCTCCTCTAAGTCAAGCGAGGAGTCTGGATGCTTGGCATTTGATTCTTCAAGCTATACGAACCACCACGATAGGCATGAGCAAGTTGTCCAGCCCCATACAATCTTCCTTTATTCTTACCTCCAAGCTGTATCCACCCAACAACGGGACCTTATAACTTCATCATGTGCGGAATCGGCGGGAGTAGACTCGGGTTCGCCACCACAAGATCCAGCGAGATGACCTAGCTTGTGAAAGTCTACTTTCAAATTCCTCCTATTAGTAGAAACAAATCAATTATTAACATGATTATTAAATTTACATAATATACAAAATTTAACATGAAGGTTCTCACGTGTGTCTTCCTAGATCTTTCATCAACAAAATGACCAGTCTTCCTCCTAATATGAGTTTGTTGGAAGATCTCATCAATAAAAGCTGATCTTCCAAGCTCCTTTGCCTACATTACATAAACAATTTGAGATATAAAACCCAATAAATATTGAATAAATCGTAAATGTATGATATAAAGACTTACCATACGTATGGCATGCTCATGTGTGCTGATAGAGCCACATGTGTGAAGGCTCCCACCCTTTTCTGATGCCCTATTTTTTTGGGCTTGTGCAGATTTGGACCGATACATTGGTGAGTTCCAATGTGCTAGCAAGCTGGTCCAAACGTGATCTCCAATCCGATCTGGTCTTTGACCAGCAATTCTTGCATCCCTAAACATCTCACTAAGTCCGTGAGATGCTTTGGAATGAAAATTCTTCTTTATTTGATGTTCATGCTCCGGTCTCCATTGAACCTTCATCTATAAAAGTATAAATTGTTATACACATTATAGAAAATTGACTACAAAACATATATTGAATAACTATAAATATATACATTAATGGAAATCAATAGTAACATTAATAATTAAGTATGTAGACAAGATTA